TTATAAATTATGCATTGTTATGTTTGTGTTAAACGAGATAAAAACATTTACGCATCGTGTCTGTATCATTTTATTTTCGCCTATATTTCTTCTTTTTTTGTCTTATTAACAATTATCAATTATCAAACCTTTAATTTTTTTTTCTATTACCAAACCTTCTTTTCAACTTTACCTGTAGGACAACTTTTTTTTTTTTAAAAAAAAAAACATGTTTGATATATTAAGAACGAATATTAATAATGATACATCTTCATCAGAACAAAGACGACATCGTTTTCAAAAATCCAGCATATATATGATAATTTTCACAATAGTATTGGCCATAGTAATACTATTCATATTATTTTTTGGTATTCAGAATTATTACAATAGTTCAATTGATTTATCCTCCAATTCAAAAGGTCATCCTAAAACAAATAGTAGTGATATTAATGTTAATGAGACTAATAGTAATAATGTAACTGATCCAACTGATTCGGAATTCGATTATGATGACTACAAACCTGATGGAAGTTATGGATACATAGAAGAAGATCTAGACAATATAGATGATGAGGATGAGGACGAAGAGGAAGATGATGGGAAAGGAGAGGAGAATATTCATTTTAGACCTCCCACCGGAAAAAACAAACATACCAAAATTGAGATAAACACATCAAATCATTATAAACTTTTCATTTTAATCACATCACAAGTGAAAGAATTTCGAAAACGCAATTTATTGCGGGACATTTTATTTGGCATAGAAGGTAATTTAGAACCTTGTATTGATTATAATCGGGACATTTTTTATAAGTTTTTGATTCTTCCATATCAATTTGGAAAGAATAAACAATTGTACAGAAATTTCATAAGTGAAATCGTAGAGAACAATGATATAGTAGAATTTCAACATTTACTTGGTACAAATTTTACTCAAGAGACTGTTCTTAATTGGGTAAGTATATTTCTAATATTATTCTTAATACAGTCTAATACAGTCAGACATCTCTGTCCTCCTATATAAGCACATAATATAAACCTTTTCTTTATATCTAAGTCAAAAAAAAAACATTAAACATGTAAAAGAATGCTTCCTAGACAGTATGATTATAGAGAAGTCCGACTGTATTTCACAATAACTATTCTAAATATTTAAACACTTGTAATAAATATTTTTTTAAAATATCATTACCACTATATGCGCAGGTCAACACCCAAAAAGACTATAATATAACATTTGATCATTTAGTACTTATGGATGGAAACTCTGTCGTAAGCCTTGAAAAGATTGAATCTAATTTATTCTACAAAAAAGAGGAAGACAATGACATTTCTACCAAGTTACCAAACATTATCTGGGGTAATTTTGAGACACCAATTGCAGATAATATGGTAATTATTGGAGCGGAAGCAATTAAAACAATCCTAGAAAATAAAAAAGTTATAAAAAATTCCAAATATTCAAATTTAATAACTCAAGCATACTTTTATAACAAAGAAAATTCACAAAAACTTTCAAATAAATTAGAAGCATTATTTTTTATAAATGATCATGAAGAATTTATGTTATGGACGGGAAAAGTAAATGATATTCCTCAAGGTATTACCATAGGAGTTGGAAACTTACAAATGGCAGATGATTTCATTCAAGTTACCGAACGTCTTTCAATTTCATATGTACCAGTTTGTCATTTTACAACACCATTAGAAGGAGAACCTAAAATAGCCGTGGTAACAAGTTCATCATTTATGGACCGATTTATTGATTGTAAAAAATCAATAATAGACATAGCCTTTGAATCAGCGGAAAACAAACGAATATATGCCAAAAAACATGAATATCCATTCATTCCACTACCAACATACAGACGTGAAATGGTAACATGGGGAAATTTTGATGCAATAAAAATGACATTGCCATATTATGATTGGATTCTTTGGATTGATACTAATTCAGTTATTACGAATTATAATGTTTCAGTTTCAGAATTAATTAAAAAATGTTATTTAATTGTTGGAAATAGAATAGTTGGAGATGCTAAGGTTGACGAAGAAGAAAAATATAAAAGAGGAAAAGAAGAA